AATGGAGCGCGCAAATTTACTCGACAATCGTCAATCGGCTGAATCAAATCAGGTCGGCACAATAGTAAAGGTAGGGGCTGAACTCCGTACTCGTACAAAGGATAAACAAATACCTATTATGTACCATAAAATATTAATTAATCAACTTACTCATATTAAATATTTTGAACCAATATTTTTTTTAATAAATTTTTCTTATGGCCAATATAATAAAATGTATATTTACTTTTACTTTTAGCATTTTTCCAATAATTTCGTTCAAATGGTTTTCATATGTTTTTGATGATGAAATAAATACAATATCCTTGCACGAGTATTGATTGCCCTTTACTTTGCCTTTTATCAAATATGTATTATATATATATATACAAATGTAAATTATTATAAATAATATATAAATACAAATTCATCTCAGTACAACATTTCAGTGTAAAAATTATACATCACATACAAAATTTGAATTTTACTTCAGTTTTACATATTTTTGTTGTTTATGTAAATAAATTGGAATTGAAATCTGATTCATCTTTAATTATTTATTTATTTCATTTTTTAAATATTACATTCAATTAAATACAATGACTTAAAAGTTAAACTGCGAATTATTTTCCAACACATCATCCATTTCCTCAATTATATAAATACTTCTTTAAATGAAATACAGTGCCATTCACAAAAACAAGAACACTTAAAAATTCAATTAATATATAATATATCAAAATACGAATATTAAAATTTAGATTAAATAATTTTTTTATATTTTGCATATAATTTAGAATTTTTATATAATTAATTTAAAATATTTATAAAAAAATTTTTAATCAATTATAGTGAATAGTATTTTAAATTTACTGCATAATAACATTTACTAATAGAACAATAAATTTTTCTAGTCCTTTAACAATATAATATGAATCGACTAATGCAGTGAGGGTACATATTAAAATTTCCGACACAAGAAGGTCAGAAAAAAAAGTGAAGCGAAACTGGTTAATATTGTATTTTAATAATTATAAAATTACTTTTTCTATAATTGTATATCTCAATACCACTGAAATTATATACAAATTTTAATCAAATAAAACTATATTGCGTGGCTACAGTAAAAAAAATGGAATATAATTGATACATATCCCCTTTCTGCATTGAATGCTTCAAATATTGGAACGTAAGTTTTCGAAAACATTCTCAGATTTCACAAAGGAATATGTTTAATGAGTTTAGCCAAGCTGGTCACATGAAGTCTTATTATCGGAAAACAGATTAAATTTTATTTTCATTTTTTTAATAATTTGCATTTATAATAATTTACTCTGCTCTTTCATGACCAAAGAACTAGAAAAATCTATCTATTGATATCTATTGATCCGACATTTCTACCTAAACGCAGGAACCTCAGCGAAGTTTTCTAAGATTTCTAATACTTTCCACAACAGTCTCAATTAATCGTCTTCAATGTATTTTTCGGGGAATGTTTTTAAAGTTTCCATTTCCTATTTCAACATATGTCAAAAGAAGAATAATCCCTATTCACTGCAGTTTTTTTTAAGGGTTTTTTTTTTGGATTCTTTGACTCTATGTTAGGAATCATAAAAATTTTAAATACCTCTTTATTTTTCCTATGTCTTTTCGATATTATTAACACGCGATATATTATGTTGCATTTATAGAATCTTGAATAAAATATGGAAAATGAAAAGATTTAAGAAGATGAGTATATATAAATGAGGATTAAGTTTACGTTTCTGATTGTTCTTGTAGTAGTAATGAAATGATCTTAGTCAAACATTGATCTCCTTGTATCTTTGCCATCTACATTAAGACCGAAAAGTTTTCGGAAATTCTCATTTAAAATTCGCGCGCTGTATATTTTTCGATATTTTAAGTTTATGTAGTTTGGCAGCAATTGACGACAATTACTATGCCAAAAATGAGCGCGATCTGTCAGACAGTTCGTTTACGGCAGCTGTTGAAACCAGTTCACCTCAGTAGTGCGTTGCGAAAAAAACAATGGAAAAAAATATTGAACAAAGAGTTTGCATCAAATTTTGTGTTTCGAACGAAATTTCGTGTGCAGAATCGTTGCGAATGCTACAAAAGGCTTATGGGGAATCAGTTTTATCGAAAACTCAAGTTTATGAGTGGTACAAAGCCTTTCAGGACGGGCGTACGACCGTCGAAGACATTTCGCAACGCACTACTGAGGTGAACTGGTTTCAACAGCTGCCGTAAACGAACTGTCTGACAGATCGCGCTCATTTTTGGCATAGAAATTAAGGACAGTGCTGCCAAACTACATAAACTTAAAATATCGAAAAATATACAGCGCGCGAATTTTAAATGAGAATTTCCGAAAACTTTTCAGTCTTAATGTATATCCGAATTTTTTTTTTTAATCCATTTATTTTATTACAATTTGTCAGGTATGAATGACATGATACTGAATGCCAGTAAGTAATATATATTAACATGAATCGTAATAATAATTATTACAATCTAAAAAAGAAAGGCACGTATGGACTATGTTCAGTGACATAACCATATATAATTGAAATAGAAGTGTGTGACCTACATATACATATTTAAAATGTCTCTCGATGTTTTCCTTTTTAGCCTTGTAAAAGTGTTGGAGGCTCCTTAACTCCATATAGGTTTTAGTGCAGTTTTGTATATAAGCAGCTTATTGTCTAGTGACAGTTTGGAATTTCGGCTGAGGAACCAAAATAAGTTTCGCAATTTAAGACCCGAAATATCATGTTACATTTGTAAAACTCGGAATGAAGTAAATTAAAGGAAAAAGAGAAAATATGATTATATGTAAATCAAGATTGATTCTTTGTTTCTTATTCTTCCACTTCTGTTGGTGTGATGATCTTAGTTAAATATTGATATCCTATAGTTTTTGCTTCTACTTATCAAGACATTCCGTCGAAGGTCTTCAATGCACTTTGAAAGGTGATTTTTAATAGTTAAAGGTTAATAAGAATTTGTTTTCTAAATCTAATTCTTTTACTTTTATTAATATAATGATCTGAGTTAAACTTAAATCGCCAGCACTTTCTACTTACACTTATCGAGAGTTCGAGTCAAAGATCTATAATTTAGAAGGATTAAGTTTTCGTTTTCTAATTCTATATTTCTAACGAAGCAACGGCTTGAGTTTAACCTAATATTTGAGACTTTGTTTTAATTTTCTAAAATCCTATATTCCAAGGTTACTAACGTCTTTTCTTATAGTTGGGACTCATCTTCTTCTGCGTTGACTGCTTTTTTTCTTCTTTTAGAATATGCTTATAAAAGTGATATGCAGTAAATTTCACTAACCGACTGTAGTCAATGAAAACGTATAAAGGTAATATTTTTGCTTAGTTATTTTTTTATACTTTCATGTCAAAAATTTTGAACGATTATTATATAATCTAAGATATATAACAAATTCTTTGATATATTTAGCAAACTAAAAATTTTTTGTAACTCCACAAGGGAACCCCTTACATATTTAATTAACTATTGCAAATACATATAACTAAAATATATATAAATAATTATGTATAATATACCAGCTTATGTAATTTAAATTAGAGCACGCTTTCAATTCCAATTTATTTATAAATATTTAAATTAATGTTGTTTGATGAATTCATTGAATTTTAAACAAAATTCCAGCATCACAAAATAACTTTAACTAATCAATTTTTATGTTAAATTCTTCTTCTCTCCCACAAAATAATTTCAAAAAATACCAAAAAATATAAATTTCATTAAAAAAAAAACAATGATTTATATAATTGTTATTAAAAAATAAACAAATGCTGGAATATATGCAGCTTCACGCCGATGGATACCACACCAGCCCCGCACATCAAAGAACTCCACTTGTACCGCGTGACTTAGGCGAAGATTTCAATTTGGATTTCGATGATGATTTTCCCATTGATGCGAAACGGCCTAAAAATGCCAAGTAAGTTGATTTGTGCTATATTTCTTCCAAAATCTAGTCAAGTATTCCTAAAGAGTATTTTTCCTCCACTATCCAAAAATCTCAAAAAAAAAAATAGCTTGTTTTCAAATATTTTCAAATATTTTCCTCTTGTGCATTTGTTTTAAATGTTTTTATGTTTTATTGTAATATTTTTATATACATCATGTGCTAAAATAATTCATGTCATTTTGTTCATTATTAAATACTTATAAATATTTAATTTTTTATTAAATAAATATATATTAAATTATATTCAAACTATAAGAAACAGAACGCTTTGAAATAAAATAAAAAATTTTATATAAAAAATAATTATTGTTGTTATAAAAATAAAACCATTGTGTACTATTAATAATACAATATATTGTTTATTATAATAATAAATTATTTTGGAGATATATGTTTTATTAAAAGTGCTCAAAAATTCTTTTTGACGATTAATTAATGTAATTTTTGCATTACTAACTGTGTTTTCAGTGTTCTACTAATAAATTTATTGAAGTTATACGTAATAAAAAAAAAATAAAAAAAAAAATTAAAAAGTTTTATATAATAAATTTATCTTATCAAATTTGACTCATATTTTTTCTTTTTTCTTTCTGTGTAAATTTTTTGTTTGTCAATCAAAAACGAAAACCAACATGATTTTTCACTGTAAAGAAACCATTCCAGCAACAATCTGGAGCCAGTTTCAACACCACCGCAGAAAAGGTTGGATTTGGTCTATAATTTGCTTCCTTAATTTAAAAAAAAATATATATATTATTAATTATTAATTGTTTGTATAAAAGTTTTTACGATTAGATCGAAAACTTCGTAATTTAATTTACTGTTCAGTTTTGTTTGGATTCGGTTTCTCTTTTAATATTTTCCACTGCTTTTTGCTTTAAGCGCACAATTTTTATACGTTTTTTGGCATGAATTTTATATTTTTAAAATTTTTGTTTTAAACTTTTTAAAATATTTCTTAATGTTTATAAAAAACAACTTGCACTTTAACTGCAACTTCACTTAAACACTTGGAAAGGTCTTAGTTTATTCATAATCGTATTGAACACAATCGCACAGAAATGTTAGTCGACAATTTTAATATATCACAATATAAATATTATGTATATATATCAATATATTATAAATACAACTGAGCCGATTTCTTTAATTAAGAAGTTCAATTCAAACAAACATTATACTTTAAAAATATGAAGACAGACTATCTATTATTAAGTTATAAATATGAACACAAAAAGAGATTACTTTGGTTGACCAAACGGTTATTTCGAGTACTGCCAAGTACTCAGCATCAACGGTCTTTGAATATATTCGAAAATAAATTTTAATAGCTGCTGACAATATCTCAATAAAAAATATGATAGTGTATTGAAATTTCTCTGAGCTATAGCCTCAAACCCTGTTATTATAATGAAAATTTTCTTTCATAATAATGACTTTAAAAATTAAAAAAAAAGATTTCTTTAAAAAAATTGCAAAACCATACAAGGATGTAATTTACTACATATATGTTATTATTATATATACATTATAACTTTTAATTAGCCTTACGCTATTCTTCAAATTTAAATAAAATAGATTCTCTTTTGCTTGATGAAATTACTAGAGACTTAATAAATATTTTGCTTGCTCCTTGTACATTTGAAGTGATTGAAATATTTTGTATTATTCATCAAAATCAGTTTCTTTAAACTTTCAATAAGTATAGGGTTTCGGCAAATCAATTGAATCGTGTTACCATCTGTACTAATCGTTCTGGGAGCACCTTGATTGTTACACTTTTCTTATTGTAGTATGGTACTACATTAATTGCCGTATGTACTTCAGTCAAGAGTAAATCAACAAATTCAAAAGAGAAAATAGAAACTGAGAAAAACTCAGATTTTCGGGCCGAAGTACACGCAAAAGGGAAACCCGTCATATAAAAATGGAAACATATATATATTCTCTGAGAGTAAATCAGCACTCTTAGCATTCGCTTACCTCGAGTAACCTCAAAACGAGTGTGGGAATGCTTTCTACTTTTCAAAGATCTTGCTGAAAAGAACAGGGTTCATTTAATATGGATTCCAGAGCACAGCGAATTTGAAGAAAACAAAAAAGCAGATGAACTAGCTAGAAAAGGGGCGGCCTCATATAATATTGTGCCACAACCATTCTGTGGTCCATCATGGAGGTTTTTCAAACTTAAAATTAATGAGTGGCTGGAAAGAGCAGCAAAGACTGATTGAGATAATACAATTGCCTGCAGACAAACTAAAGAATTCATAACGTATCGCTCAAAAGTCAGAACTACGAAGCTATTTATGCTGAACAGAAATGGCATCCGTCTTGTCACAAGGTTTCTCACTGGACATTGCGGAGTTAAAAAGCATTTATCGAAATTAGGTATTATTAGAGATGATAGTTGCAGACTTTGTTGCAAAGAAGAGGAAACAGCAGAACACATTCCGTGTCACTCGCTCGATTTAGTCTCGCCAGATTCAGACTTTGGACATAATAGCGTAATCAACTGCTCGTCTATGGAACTGAAATGGGTATGTCACTATAATCCTCAAAGGATACAGTGACGTGATGACAAGTTCCCAACCCATCTTAAAATCTAATCTAATCTAAACCAACAAATTTAATTATTTCTCGTTATATGTGATTCATACCCATATGCTATAAATGATTTAATAAAGCTTTTTTTTATATTGCAACTTTAGAATACATCAGAAATACTATTCATAAAACTCATATAATTTTATTTACGTTTAAAAATTATTTACTTAATACCACCACAAGTTTTTTAAGTCTCATTAACCAAAATGTCGACAATCTTTATTTTCCAGTTCAACACCTACAATTATGTATATTATTAGTCCTAATGTTTTTAATCTTCTTAGTTCACTGATAATAAATTAATTATTGAAATGTATATACTACGTTATAACTGAAATTAAAATGATATATTTTCTTAAAAATTTTAGATTAAATACGATTTTTATAGAAATTTTATAAACTGTCTTCGTAATTTCAAGATATTAGAATAAGATATTGGAATTTTCTAATATTCTAAGTATAACGTTGCGCTACATCTACATCATATTCGTATATTTATTTTTCACTCTTTTTTTCGTCTCCGATATTATGGAAAATGACTAAATCAATGAATTACTATGAGTTAGTTATTAACTAATTAACCTAAAGAAAATTTTCGAAAGCTATGTAAAAACAGATTATGTTGCTATATAAAGGTTATCATTTTTTAAAATAAATCGAATAATTGATTGATAATTAATGACTTATAACTCCCCGAAAAATTTAGCGAAATGTAAAAATTAAATTTCATATTTGTAAAGGACTTCTTGAAAAACTTTCAAAATTAAATACTAATTATATCCTTAAATATAATTTTTGTATTAAAGTCCATTAAACCCGAAATCATTGAAATTTATGTAAAAAACTTTACATTATCTCTACTTTCACGAGATTAATAAAATGTCATATTACAGAAATAAACCCAGATCACGTTCACACCTTAATTCTCTGATATTTCTCTGCAGACTTCAATATTAAAAATCATAGTCAAAGTGCAAAGTAATATGAGTGTACGTGCATTTGAAGCAACGTGGAATCAAGTGAACAGATACTAGTACAGATACTAGTATGCTGAACAATTTCTGAATTGCTCATTTTGCATGCTGCATGCAAGTCCTGAATTACGGCAACGGCAACATCATCATAAGAGTTGCCAACTGAGCCGAACCCACTGTACAGTATTTCTGTGCCAGTGATTGTCAAAAAATGCTACAAAATGAACAAAAACAGGCTTCAAATTTTTGCCTGTTCCGCTGTATTGCACTGAACTTGTACGTCACAATTCCTAGTGAAGTGTCAATATAAGTTGTAGATTGCAGATTCCAAACCTTATGCCGCAGCTGCTGCTCTATTTGCTGTTAACATTTGGCCGGTTGCCACTTCACTGTTTGCTGCAAAAGTGTGCACAGTTTAACAAAGATATATTGGCTGTAACGGAGAAAGGACTACAAAGAATTTAAATACTTCTAAGCACTTAAGTCCTGATGAAACACAAACTGTAGAACAGGACTTCTTCATTAGCAATAGTTACTGCCACTACTACTACCACTGCTTCTGCAGTGCCTTTGGGTTGAATTGGATATTTAATGATGTGCAGGCTAATGTTTAAATATTGAGTTCACTAGTCAGAAGTTAGTTAAATCGTTGTTGCAGCATCACTGCAAGTCAGCTGCAGGAATGAGTGGAATATTTTAGGTGCCTGGCATGACAGTTGATTAGATTACGTTAACGTTCAGAGACACAAAAGTTAAATACAAAAGACACAAGTCGCTGCACATTATTTGATTTGTAATCACTAAGGATGCTTTATACCTATTTTCAAAAAATATGTGAATATAGTTTTTATTTTTTGTTTATATAGAAATAAAAAAATATTGCTTACACATGTGGCAAGTTGCCAATTTGCTCTTTTCAATCGATATTATCTTTTGGCAATTTGTTTTGTAACTAGGACACGAGTATATTGACTTTTGAAGTAAATTTTTTTGTTTGCTTCAAGAAAGTTAACAGATTTATGTATGTTAAATATATTTTATTTAAAATTTAATCTAAGGATTGGTTGCAACTAATTTCTTAGCTATTGCAGTTAATTTGGTATGGTTGGAAACACCCTTTCTTGTCAACAAATAAACCTCTCATACCGAAGCAAAAGCCTGCGTGCTTGCACCTCAAATGCTGTCACGTGTTGCAAATAAAAAATAAAAATAAAAGAAACCCAAAGTCTGCTTATCACTTCCTTGTTTTTTATTCATTAAATGAGCCAGGGGACCTTTTTGTACGCTTTTGTGGCTCAAGTCCCATAAGTCTTTTCAAACGTCACCAATTGCATGCGTTCGCTGTGCATATTTACGTAGTAATTATCAGACGAAACTCACGCGACAGCAGTTTGAT